GAGTAATTTTATTTCAATTCAGCTCAATCGGGTAAAATTTTGCATGATTGGTTAGTGTAATTTTGGCCGATTGGACTGAATTGAAACTTAAAACTACGTTAAAACAAAAGTAATTTCTACTAAAAAAAAAAGAAGAAAAGAAAACTAGGTCTGCCAAGTGTGATTTACTAAGATGTAATATTACTTTCGTTGTTTTTTCCCTTCTAAAAGTGGTAACGATGTTATATATAAATGAAAACGAACTGTGGTATAAATATCATACCATTGCATTTGATTAAGTTTTTGACATGCAAAAGCTAGTGTTACCAAACGTAAAATTTATCATTTCAATGGAGTGTGACAGCCTAAACTACCAATATTTTGGTTTAAACCATCTGATCCACTACAAATTCCTACTCTTCCGCTATAATATCCGTCCCGAAATAGAAACTACTTATTTGTTAAAAACAATTTAACAAACGATCAAGCAGAAAGTATAATTTAACACTGTGTATATTACGAGCTCATACTCTGTTTAAGTCGACTAATTACAAAAATAAAGACGCAATTAATGTGTTGAGAAATATCACAATCTTTTTTTTTTATGTAATTTACAATTGTGAATGTAGATTATTTTTATGATACAGAAGGATCAATATTATGAAATAAAATTGCCGAACTGAAATCCAAAAGGCTAATAGAAGGTTGGAGTTCCGTTACAATATTATGGACCACTAAAATATTAAATATTCGAAAAGCAGAAATGTAGATGATAGTACACTTACAACCTTCAATAAAAGAGTTATGGAACTTGCTCGAATATTCTCCGTTTTATTAAACATTGCTTTTTTGATATAATTTGATCTATAACTATTATAACTATTACAACTATTACATAAATAAAGTGAATTGTTAAAATGCGACTGAACTAGAAAATGAAACAGCAGAAAATGTACAATATTTTAAATTCCTGGGATTAAAATGAAGGCAAAACTTAGCTTATGGAAGAATCCACCATGCACGAACTATGCAAATTATGTTGTTGATCAGCTCACGATTTGAAAGAAAACTTCAAGAATAACCATCAAATTAATTACTCTTTTTTTTAAAAAAAAAAAATTCAAGTTTAGGAAGCATTTATTGGTCAATTTTATTAGGTGGTAGTGATGATATATAGTGCCGTTTTGAATGGGTAATCATATAAACGTAAACGACGAGATCATTGAATAAGTTTCTTTGTTACTGTGGTTTTGTTGTATTAACCATTTGATGTCTTTAATCTGTTTACGAACAATATGTAGTTTTCGAATATTTTCCCTTATTAGAACAAATAGCTGTAATATCTAGTTTGACATAATAACTCTTCCATTGTTGAAAAAGATAAATTTGATGTGTAAGAATATTGTGCGTAAATTAGAAGAATAGAGTACGTTAATTAGTACTCTTTTTATCCGACAAAAACAGTCCAGATTGTATAATGTAAATATACTACAAATGATACAATATTCTAAAAGACATCAATTCAATCATATAATTTATCTATAAATCGATCATCGTCATCCTAACATGAAATCTTACCAACTCCTTCACGACGTAGTGAAATGTAATACATTATTTCACTTTTTAGATTTTTTCTCATGGAGACTATATATTGACGTTTGCATGTCTTTTGATTAACGTTTTATAAGATTACTTTATCTGTATTAATAACAAAAGGATGACTTGTTCAGTAATTTCTGTCAAGTGGAAGTCAGTGATAGAGGAAACTGTCAAACATTTTTTTGGCAATTTAAAGCGACAGTCAGATTACTTAGAAAGCTGAAATTTTGAATTACTTGTACCAATTTCAACTCTTTTTCATAATTCACATGTATTTTTTCATTAAATAATTAAGTAGTCGGAATTATTTTTATTTCTGTAATTAATTGACTTCCTTTCCCATTTATTTATTTCTTTACTCCCTCCATTTTAATTTGTAGGTCGTTTTATAAATTTTAGACAAATTAATGACTATTTTTCTAACTTCACCGTCAATAAATGATGCAAATCTATTTTTATTTAGTCTTGTTTATCGTTTCAATGTAATTAATTAGGAGTAAAATATATATTTAACTCATAAATTAATTGTTGGACGATTGTCTCTTTAGTTTACGTGTAACGTCTAAAGTGACTTACATTTTTGAAATGGAGTGATTATTTATTTTGTAGTCTGGGGACAAAAAATGCCCTACTGAATAGTGATTTCATTAACTAGCTAGGTTGGAATTCGTCCAACAGCAAACTAAAACAAGTCCAACCGTATGAAACTTTGATAAAGTGATCCAGCTTAACACCTACCACATTATCTTATTTTTATTTTAAAACAATAAATAAATGTAATTGAGTTGCTGTTTTGCATATTTGATACGATGTGGGACAAACTAATGCTTAGTATTTTCAACTTACGTACTTAATATTGTCAAATTATACCTTAGGTTGACCACGTAACAAGTTCCCCACAATTTATTATGTGAACATTAATGAACGTCTCAACTTTCAAGCTTCTCCAAAAAGCTACTCCCCTTTTTATCCTTAGCGATAGATGATGTTATTTTAATTTATTTATTTTTTGAATCGATCAAACCCGCGATCATCTAACTATTTCGATTTTTCATTCTCACTGTTATATTGATAATACTTATACAAAATTATTAAGATCTAAGTGAGCATAGGACTTGTTTATATTAATTTACTAGTCTTTTTTTTTTCCTCTACTCGTGTATGACACATTGAAATATTCATCGTACAATTGGTTATACATATTTCAACCTTTCATTCACTAGCTCCAAAAATAGAAATCACATGTAACACTCACAATTTATTAGTACTAATTGGTGACATTTACTATTTCTTAACAGGGAGAGAGAATGAACACAATTTCAAATTGCATGTTCTACAAATCAATACTTCTCCTTGATTGGTAGAAAATCATGATTCATTTAATGAAATTGCTGTTTACTTCCCTTTTCTTGATGAAAACACGACAATGAAATTACGTTTATCTCTGTGTGATCATGTGTGCACTTGGTCATGGATATTCGTAAATATATTACTTGGAGAAGTAGTGAAAGTTATGTGCCAAAATTAAAGAATGGTAGAGTAAGTGTGTGACGAAAACCAAGTCAAACAAATGGCCTTATTTTTTCTTCATTATGTTTTGGGTGTATTACGGCACTCAGAGCAATATTTCTACATTTTTACGTCAAATTCTAGAAATCCTTCTTAGTTACTCCCTCCATTTCAAAATATAAGTCGCTTTAGACTCTACACATAAATTAAGAAGACAATTATTTAATACCTAAATTGTGTATTAAATATTTATTTTACCAATCATTAATCATTTTAAAACTATAATTAAGACTAGATAAAAAATTGTTAACATTATTTATTGGGGGTAAAGTTGGAAGTTGGTCTTTAATTTGTCTAGAAATTCTAAAACGGCCTACATTTTGAAATGGAGGGAGAAGTAATAAGGATATAACCTTCGACCCTAATAAATAGTCGAATCTGGAAGTTGAAAAGTTGTGTTCTTTCTTAATTAGTTGAGCATTTATTATGTATTCCTTCCCTAATAAAATAGTTAAAATTTGTGACTTTGTTGGGAACGAAAGATTTACAAATTCGTTAGCAAACTCAATTGCATCGAAGCTTTTCAACACGAAGGTTTGCATCTTTTAACATGTTACGCACTAATATGCATTTAGTCCATCGAGCTAGGAATAAGATATACTCTCTCTGTCCCAAAATTATTGTCCAGTTTGAAATTTCACTTTTAGTATAATTTGAACTAAAAATAAAAATCCAAACTAGACAATAATTATGGGACGGGGAGTATGTTTTTTCATTTTTACTACAATTTTTTAATAAAATGTTTTATTACCGAATTTGCTGTCAAGTATAGGGTACAATGTAAAATAAACAAAAAGAAAGAAAGAAAAAAACAATAGAGAACAAGGATCCAAAGTTGATCTCATACTGATCCATCACACTATATCAGGATGCAACATACGTAGAATGAATTTTCACGTTAATATTGAATTCTTCCTCTATGCATAATAGAATTCTTAATCGAACTCGTGGTTAAGTGTTGTAAGGACTCATTCATCTTTCATTATAAATTGATGGTTCAAAATTTGCATAAATATGGAGTGATCTTAAATCTTTAATCTCATATCCCAGTCTCTCCATCGATATACTTGCAATTCAACGACAGAATAATTAGTCGTGTGTTTGTCGATGTTGAACTGCTTTCGAATAAATAAATTTATATACAATATAAAGAAATTCAAATTTGATATTACCATTAAATATTATATTAAATGAGAGCTTAAATCCCAAAAAAAAAAAATCTAGAAATCTGAAACCGCCACAATTAAGTAATCGTGCAAATCAATGGGATAGATGTAACGACAGAAAAATCTATAAAATGACTTTCCATCAACCTGAACGTAGACCTTGAAGCATCACCACTCTACTTTAAATTGATGTTTCCCCCTTCACTTTGCAACAAATCTATCTTTCTCAATTGGGTTTCAATCACAAATATCTCATAGTACTATTTGTGTATGAGCTCTAGCAACATCTTTTCTTTCATCATTCTTTCACTTTATCAGTTACAAATTACAACAACAACAAATGGGAGATCATCAAAAGACAAATCTCCCTATGACCTTTCTCAAATCTTTTTGGTCCAAATATGGTTATAATCGCTATCATATACCACAAACATTGTTCCTAATATGTTTTCTACCTCTTTTAGGCCTTGTTTCCTTCAATATTTTGACTCTACAAGTTGAAGATCTTGTCCTATTCTCAACTTATCTTAGGAACAATATTGTTTCTTTAATGTTCTTTTTAGCCTTCTTGGTTTTCCTAGGTGCAATTTACTGGATCACTAGGCCTAGGAAAGTTTACTTGGTGGATTTCGCATGTTTCAAGCCTGGTCCTAAACTCATGGCTTCAAGGAAAGAAACCGCAACTAGGGTTCGAAACTTTGGAGTTTTTAAGGAAGAAAATCTGGCTTTCATGGCTAGGATACTGGAGAGGTCCGGGATAGGGGAGAAGACATACTTCCCGGAGCCGTTTTTCGGGAAATCACCAAATCCCACCATGGCTGATGCAAGGAAAGAGGCTGAAATGGTGATCTTTGGTTGTGTAGATCAACTCTTGGCTAAGACTGGTGTGAAGGTTAATGATATTGGCATTCTTGTGGTGAATTGTGGTGTTTTTTGTCCAACTCCTTCTCTTTCTTCCATGATTGTTAACCATTACAAGCTTAGGAGCAATGTCTTGAGCTACAATATTGGTGGTATGGGTTGTAGTGCTGGTATTATCTCCATTGATCTTGCTAAGCATCATCTTCAGGTGATTAATTAATTCTTTAATTACTCTAATTGAATTTAAGTAAAGTATAGAGTTAATTTAATTCCTTTTTACTCTCTGATGTATTAATTTCCAAAAATTAATACTAGACGTAATTAAGCACAATGAACTATTTTTCTGAAACGGACTTTAACTGTTGCAACAGGTGTATAGAAACTCATATGCCCTAGTGGTGAGCCTGGAAAACTTGTCGCTCAATGCTTATAGAGGTAACAACCCTTCCATGTTGGTGGCAAACTGCCTTTTCCGGGTCGGAGGGGCGGCGATTTTACTATCGAACAAGCATTCCGATCGCTTCCGGTCAAAATATCACCTGACACATGTGGTCCGGACCCACAACGGTGCCGATGACAAGAGTTATGGAGTTGCAGTTCAACAAGAAGATGATGATGGACTCGTAGGAATGGCTTTGTCTAAAGACCTAATGTCCATAGCCGCACAAGGGTTAAAGCTAAACATCACTACACTTGCACCATTGATTCTTCCCATGTCGGAACAAATCTTGTTCTTTATAACCTTAGTGGCTAGGAAAGTATTCAAGATGAAAATTAAGCCACACATTCCTGATTTTAAACGTGCATTGGAGCATTTTTGCATTCATGCAGGTGGAAGAGCTGTGTTGGATGAAGTTGAGAAAGCCCTAAATCTTACTCCAGTGCAAATGGAGCCTTCTCGGATGACTCTTTATCGGTTCGGTAACACGTCGACGAGTTCGATATGGTACGAACTAGCTTATATGGAAGCTAAAGGGAGGATGAAGAAGGGTGATCGAGCTTGGCAAATCTCATTTGGTGCTGGATTCAAATGTAATAGTGCTGTTTGGCGTGCTTTGAAGACTATTGATCCTTCTCAAGAGAAGATTAACCCTTGGATCGATGAAGTCGACGACTTCCCCGTCGACGTGCCCAAGATTCAACCGTTGGATATTACTAGCTGAAACAATAATTCGAAGGATATCATAAAGTAATCGCCATGCATGATGATGAATAAGTTTTCTTGTTGAATTGTACTATTAAAAAAAAAATTGTTATTGTCAATCAAAGTGTAATGTTGCTATTTTGTTGCAAGCTTGAAAGTGAATGGCTTGCATTTTGCATGTTTTTTTTTTTTGTGGGCTATTATAGAAATGCCTTAATGGTGGTGATGAAGTACTCTGGTTAACCAAAAAATGGTACCAGTTCTTCTGTACCACGTGTAGCATGATGAAAAACCCATAATTGAAACTTTAGTTACGTGATTTTGTGATGAAACTATGTGGATTTGGACATGTTACTTTTGTTTTCATTGTTGTGTCATGTGCTCTAGATACTAAGCACATTTACGTATCTTTGTGGTTGTGGTTAGGTATTGTCTGATTTCGTTTGCCTCAAGTTAATTAAGCGCGGTAATTAGATTTCAAGTTCGAATAATTTATACTATCTGTGACTTATATTACTCACCATCGCCGCTAAAAATTTTTTTTTTTTTTATTCGTGATATGTATTTCTTTAATATAAATTCATAAATTATAATGTAAATTATTTTTTTTTGACAGAAGAGAATAATAGTGTAATAATTTAAGGTTTCACTTAGCTCTTTCTTCGTAAAAGAAAACTTATTCTTATTGCTTTTTGGTGGACTTGTGTAGACTGTCAGATTGTACTAAGTACATAGTTTAAATAAGATCTGGCTTCCAATAAAAGATTGGTTAAAATCAAAATCCTCCTGCCCCTTGAAGAGTAAGAAATCCAATAAAAGATTTAATATATTGAAAGTTTACAAAATAATAATACTACATATCTTTCTATAGGTTTTTATAGCATTTGGGATCCATAGGCTGATTCAGGAGAAGGATGGCCTTTTTTGGGTTTATGGAAGAAGATTAAAGATTGTTTTTACTTTTCCTTCACGGAGTTTTAGCTAGGATTTTTGTTCCTATATTTGAATTTTCTTTATACAATGGACGCATATTCCGGAAGCAAGAGGAGGAGTGTGCTCATGATATTCAAGGAAATACAGCAAGTGGTCAAAACCAGATGTCAATAGTGCAAAAGCAGAAAGCTGTCGATCAGAGAAAGCAATATCCTTCACAGTCTAATGTAATTGAGTGATCAAATATGGTTTCTGGTTGTAAATATGATGTAAATAGTGTAATTTTGGTAAGAGCCTTGTAATTAAACGTTTTATTATATATATTCAAAGCTTACAATTTAACCAAAGAAAAAAATACTATCTTTCTCAAATACTATCATATATATATATATATATATATATATATATATATATATATGCAAAGCTTACAATTTTATCATATATCATGCATGTGGCTTTGATGCAGCGTAGAAAAAAGAATCAGAAAAATAGTTTTTAATAGACCATTTCGATCCTGGCTGCAGTTAGAAAATCCGTATTGAAACAGAAATTTATTACGTGCAAATTATTGCATGGGAAAGGACAGGAGAAATTAAGCTATAAGAATGAGTAATAAACATATATACACCGCATGTTTATTAATCTTTATATTTCCTCCGATATTATTTGTAACTCCATTTGTTTTATAAAAACAATTTATTCTATTGAATTAATAAAATATCATCAACATAATAATTTGTAATTTTTTTTTTTAAGATGGATAGAATAATAGATTTCTCATATGACTCCATCCTAATATTCATCGGTAAGGCGGGCGCCCTGTGTCGAGGGTATTAATAATTGGTAAAACGACGTGGAAACTAATGTTGCGAATGAAAGATTAATTAAACAAAAAGATAGGAAGACTTGCGAGTCTTGTTCAAGGATTAATAAAATACACGTATCATGTCTTATAAAGATAGTTATTCAACATAAGACAAAAATCTTTAAGCCATTGATCAAGAGTGTAGCATATCAAAGAAAAAAAAAAACTTTTAACCCTAATTACAACAGTCACAAGATCAAGGTCTATCAAGATAATTATTTAAAGTTGAACTAAAATTCTTTATTTAGTTCCAAATTAATTAAAATAGTGATTTCGAATTAATCCAAATTAATCCAAATTAATTTATTTAGTTCCAAATTAATCCAAATTAATTAAAATAGTGATTTCGAATACTATATGTATGATATACGGAAAGAAATTTATATATATATATATATATATATATATATATTCTCCTTAGCTCCCACCCTAAAGCAGTCACGAGATCAAGTTATATATCAAGATAATTATAATTATTGGACGTGGAACAAAAAAATCTTTTATGATTTCAGTTGGGTCGAAAAACAAATGTCAAAGGTAATGTTGTTGGCTGTTACGAAATCAATAAGTGCTTGTTTGTATGTCATCTTACATTTCATTTTGTCATTTAAAAGTGGAAAGTGTTTCAAGTTAAAAACTAAATGGAAAATAAAATGTTGTTTGGATGGTATTTTGAGCAAAAAGTTGTTTGGATGTTGATTTTGAAAAAAAAATTTGAACTACATTTTGAAAATATCAAGTACAAGTCATCACTAAATAATTAAATTCTATCAATTATAGTCACTGCAAAAAAAGAACTTTTCCAAAAACAATCACTCAATAACAGAATCCTGCCAAATTTATCACTGAACTATTGTAATTCTAAAATGGTCATTACACTAACAAAAAGTGTTTCAAGTTGAAATTTAAAATGTAAATCAGAAAGTTATTTAAATGATGTTTTCTTTTCCATTGGGTTTTGTGTTTAAGAGATAAAATGAGTTAAAATATAAAATGAGTTCTTGTCCAAACAAATTAAATTAAGTGGTTGAAAGCTCTGGCAGAAAATGGGATATTGACCATATTGAATTAATGATTTTGACTTTTGTTCAACCTGAAAAACGGCGTAAAGAAAGCTTCATTTGTCAGTGAGGGTTTCTTGAAATACACATCAACCAAATTTTCTCCAAACTAATCAAAAATTATTTGCAAGTGACAAGCTTTCTTTTTCCTACTAAAATTATTTTGTGCAGAAAAACAAATGAATGCTGCATCTAATGAAATCAAGTGCGCATATCTATTTCCATACGCTTTCCGTTCTAAAATACTACCTCGGTTCATTTTTATCTGTCGTTTTAAGATTTGCATAACCATTAAGAAAAACAATGATATAAATTTCATAATAGTGTTCATTTATAAGTTTAATCATATAACAAATCATGTATTGAGAGAAAAGGGAAAAAAAATACACAAAAATAATGCAATTGACAGTTTACACCAAATTTTGTGCAACACTGCTCATTCACCAAAATGAGGCACTAATTCAATTAGAGTTTCCGCTAAAGTGCAAACTCACACAAAAACACCAAGTTTAGTGTTTTAGTATATTTGTTGGGATTGCTGTTATAAAACATGTTAATAAAGTTTTTATTTTCAATTAAAAAAACCACGCTAAATGAAATGTAAAATAAATTAAAATAAGTATGGAAGGAATATAAAAAAAATCACGTTATGTAATTAAAAAACCTATCGATGTGGTTAGCTAAACATATGTATGTATGTGCCCCGTCAGAAATGCAATATGTTGATCAAATCCTAATTCCGCCACTATGATTTACTCCCTCAGTCCCAAAATTATTATCCAGTTTGATTTCACTTTTAGTATAATTTGAACTAGAAATAAAAACTCAAATTACACAATAATTATGGGACGGAGAGAGTAACTCATGCAAAATTTTTGGCATCCTAGGATGAAGAACAACTGCAATGAAATCAATTTCTCCTCTAAAAGTGAACCGCCAACTAGTGTAGAATCTCACGCTGGTTCATGTAACTCAAGATGGTTCCACTAAATTAATATAAGCCCTGTAATCTAAAGCTTTGCTTTTTTTTGTTTTTTTACCAGAAGCTCTATCTTTTCCTTCTTACCAGTTACCACTCCTCTTCCTTGTCAATCACCGCCAGTGTACTCTTACCTCTCCACCGTTTGAATTCACCCATATGATTAGCAGCACCAAATACCCAATTCCCGATTGGTTCAGTTGAGGTAGTGATTTTGGATTGATTGATTTGGAAAATAAGACCATCTAAGGGGGCATTGAAGCTTGAGGGAAAAAGGGTCCGGCACGACAACGAAGCTAATAAGCTGTAACCCCACATAGGACAGCCATAAATCATTGGCTAAGGTGAGTGTTCTCACAATTTTTCTTGTTTTCTCAAGCATGCAACCTAGTAGTTTATATATGGACGAATCCTTCTTTGAAACTCTGTTTATGTCCTATTATAATCCATTTATGCATTTTGCCATATTATAAACCATTTCTGTATTCTCCATTGAAGTGGAATTCGGAAATCAAATTGTTATCTTCTAGTGTCATAACCACAGAGTTTATATGATCTTTTAATTGAAAATGTTTGACCCTATTCTTGATTGCTTGCTCAAAACTCGGGCTTGAACATTGACTTGTATTGAAAAACTATCGATTTGACCTTAGGTCACTCCAAACATTGAACTGGCTCGGTGGTCGTCCCATAAATGGTTGTATGGGCTGATTGGATTTTCATTGATATACCCGTACATGGTGCTTGTTATTTATATATTCAAGAAGAGGATTTTATACTTCGTATTTGTTTTTTTTGAACATTGGTCAAACATGGCTGAGTCTGAAGGTTTCGAAATGATTGATAGATTTGTGAAAATGGTGAAATGATGATTCTGTTCGTGAACAAAACAACCGGCCTTCTATTGGTACTTTGCTTTTTGCCGCTTGAAATGGCTACATATTTACTCGCATTAAAGTAATCAGTTTTCTTGATTTGTTGCCGTTGATCATTATTAAGAAATCACTATTTTGTTATGAATGTTTTACGAAACCGAGAACACTCACGGGCTATAGGCCACATAGCTCACCCGTATTATTTCCAAAACTATTTTACAGGCGTACCGTCACGAGAGGTTTCGATGATCATATTTGTTAGCTGGACCTCAGTGCTGAACCTGAAAGGTTGAGTTAGAAATGTAAAATAGCTAAATTTCCCTTGATTTATAATTTGAGGTTAAAGCTTGTAGTAGTTAGATGATTGATGAAAGTAATCCAGAATTGAAATTGTGGTCATGACACTATAGCTGTAAATGAGACAGTCCATTAATTCGTAAATTAAATAGCTTAGTCAACAATGTTCATTTTGTATTTGAGTTAGCATTTTAATTTGAATCAGTAGTGCATTGTGCCTTGGGCGAGAACTCGGCAAACGACCCAACTTGTTGCTAAGAAGAGTAGTTAAAGCAGGTATTTTGTTCGGGTCGTTACAGGTGGTATCAGAGGTGTAGGAATACGATCCCTCCTTGGGAACAGTCAGATGAGCTTTACTCTGGGATTAGAATGCAAGATATATGGATTAGATTGTGGAATTATAACCATTTGTCATCCGTTATTTGGGTATATTTGGCGAAGTGCTTAAAGATACAATCTGTTGAAGGTAATACATGAGATGTACGTACCCTTTTGGGAGTAGAGCATCTGACATATCAGAGTTGTAGGATGGCCTATTTAGGGCGAATAGTTATGATGCATGATCTGATTTTGTGAAATTTAAAACAATTTTACATTTCGGTTTTTGGTACATTTTGGTTTTGAGACAAGCTTTTGTGCGCTCTGATGTTTACGTGTTAGATTGATGTTCTGAAAAATTTTCTATACAGATCATCTCCTTATCCAAGTTTATGTCAAAATTTGATCGTTAAATGGATTGTCGGTTGTTTCTGAAAGAGGTTTCCAAGTTGACATATTACATGTGATTTTTCTGAAAATTCAAGAATGACACATGCTGTTTGAATGTTCGTTTAGCATCTTTAGAAAACCTTTTGAATTGATTTCTTTTCATGAACCTTTTCTTTGTTTTACAAGGTTTATGCCTGTCTTTACGGCTTACGAAATGGATTTCTGGTCAGTTCAAAATCCAACTTTCAAGAAGGCGACGTTCTGAATTTTCTGCAACATTCAATGTTTCATGATTGATAGGTAAATTTCAACTGTTTACATTAAGTTATTTTGAAACTTTTTGTGTGATTTCTTGTCTAGGACTCTTGCGCACTCATTGAGGTTTCTGTCAGTGTTTATGTCTGGTAAAATTTACCTCAGGATGTTACAGAAACTCAAGTTGAACATGACTTATTACTTCTTGAAAATCTGAAAATCTCTAAAACTTGTATTGAGCTTCTATTTTGGAGATCCGTTCCTTCTTATTATGAAACTGTTTCATGAGGTTTCCTCCCATGAACCTCTTCTATGTTCGATGAAGTTCTTACAGACCACTAAATGCAGCTATAGTTTGCTCAGAAATTGGACTTGAACTTGACTGAATGAATCTGCAAATTTTGAAAGACTCTGTTCTGACGTGTTTTCTTGAGGAACAGTTCTCTCCTACTGTTGAACCATTTTTTTTTTTCCTGATTTCTTCTGATAAACTGATCTTTGTTTATCCTTCTTTAGACTGGTTTTGATACCTCGTGAATTGGGTGTTTGAATTGATAAAAAAAAAAAAAAAGGTTCTTCGGATACGACACTGTTACCGCTCTTTTGCTGAATTTTCAGAATTAGAAAATGAGAAGTTGACTTAGAGGCTTTTCTTTTTCCTTGACCAAATTACCTTTTCTCAGATGATCACATTCATCTTTATGATTCTTTCTTCATCCAAGTATACAATGGAACTTGTAAAATAGAAAAACATCTGAATTCTTGGGAGGTACGCTTGTATCTTAATGATTAAAATATTCTGTTTTCTGAACTTTGCATTCTATCAAGTCACTTTTTGAAGTTTATAGTTTTATGGTAGGAAAAGAAATGGACTCTTGGGTACTCCTTAAATTAGCATTGAAAAAAAGGCCTGTTGTGATTTTCCTGAAATTTCAGAACTAAAGATTCAAACTACTGATTTTAGTCGAATAGTTAATCATCTTCTGAAAACTCTTTGATCAATTTCAGCGATTGAATTTCTTCCCTAGTTGATAGTGTATATATCAGACCCCACAGATTTTTAAGACGGACTTATAAACTTCTAGCTCAATACATCACATGTTTATTACCATGTAACGGAGAATGTCATATCCTGATTCTATGCTATTACCAGGATTGCCTTTCCAAGTCGCAGCTAACAACTTCAGTCTCATTGTTGTATAGGACTGATACCAAAACATGCTAGTTGCATTAAGGTCTTGTATAGCTCTGCCTGTAACCTCACTTCTCCGTTCACCGCTATGCATCTGTTGTGATGCCCCTCTGCTTTATACGTCCTTCAGAACCCAAATGGTTGAAGTGCTGAAGTTAAAATCTCATTCTCGCTTTTCCTGTTTTACCATAAAAAGCTCTAAACCTGGTTTAGCTTCTGAAGGACCCTCATCTGCAGAGGCTCTGCTATTTATACCCCCTGGAGTTATCCCAGACGAGGTTACCGATGATAAGATCTTACCCGGTTCAAATATTGTGCTCGGACCATATGCTGGTGATGCTAAAATTAAGGAGGTAGAGTTTGTAAAAAGTAGTAATCGTCCCAAGGACTGTCCCAAGGATGATCGACCGGAATTTGCTATGTTGGGCAGGTCCAACGTTGGGAAGTCCTCACTTATTAACTCTTTGGTTCGCAAGAAAGAGGTTGCTCTCACTTCTAAGAAGCCAGGTTTTATTTCTTGATGTTGAAACTGGTTTTGCTTATGGTCTGCTTTATCTCTTGCCATCACCTGCCAAGTTCCATCTTTGTAGGAAAAACTCAGTTGATTAATCATTTCCTGGTGAACAAAAGCTGGTACATTGTGGATTTGCCTGGTTATGGGTAAGCCAGAACTGTTATTTATTCTTTGTGGATACGTGCACGGGTATCTTATATTGTTTGCTTCAACGCTAGTGGTGAATTCAGTGTAATAAGTTGGACATTGAAGCTTCTTTTAACAAACATACAAACACGCTCGTGGCTTTTCACATTTTTTTATTGGGAAGTCGTAATTGGCTACTTGTTCACGTTAGTTAAAATCTCACTGAGCAAAAATTTTGACGCATCTTCTGCTTCTGTTATGTTATGGAGAAGTTGTATCAGCATTTAGAGGTGTAGCTTTTGAAACAATAGAAGCAAATGCTCCAGTGAAATGAATCTATACCCCAGCATTGTGGAAAAATCAGGGAACCATATAGTAAAGAAAGAATATTACTGCCTCAATGTTGATTCCAGACCGAAGTTCCATTATTTCCTTGAACTGAAAATTGATCTGTCATGCAGAAATTGCTTAGTACAGGTGAACATATTAGTTTCCCTTATATTTTCTGAGATAAAGGTATAGAATCTCTGAGGCCAGTTTAATTTTAAATGGGAATAATGTGTTTAATTCTTTCAGACTTATATTGTATGCTATCAGTTACTATTTCCTTCTCCTCACTTAAGATTTAGCAATTCTTGGTTAAATATGTTTTCCGTTCTCCTTGATTCAGCAAGAGTCAATGTGAGCTGCCATTATTTGATGTTTTATGTTGCCTTAAATTTAGGCTTCTGATATCATTGTAAGATTTGCAAGAAATCAGTACTATAGATTTGCATCCGCAGCTGTCTTGATTATGCTGTTGCTAGTGACTTTGGCATGAATTTACCAGAAACTTTGTCAGTGTCCATCCTTCACCTGTTGTCCCCTGTTAACCTTGTGTTGTGTATATGAACTTTTCTGTGGATGTATAACCCCATCCTAATGACACTTTGTCCCCAGTTTTGCCAATGCCCCAGAAGCAGCTAGAATGGATTGGTCCTCATTCACAAAGGGTTACTTTCTGAACAGGGGCACTTTGGTCTCCGTCTTGCTTCTTGTTGATGCTAGTGTGCCACCGCAGAAGATTGATCTTGATTGTGCAAATTGGCTGGGGCGGAACAATGTATTGTCTTTTCCTTTGAAATTGATATATGCATGCTACACTGGTTTTTTCATACTTCAGCTTGAAACTAAGTATCTGCCATTGGGTGATTTTCCAAAACATCTAATAGACCTGTTGATTTCCTATAAACAGCTTGAATTTGGTTTTATTTCATGCTATTAATAAAACCCTTTTCCCAGATACCGTTGACATTTGTTTTTACCAAGTGCGATAAGACGAAAGGGGGAAAAGGAAAGAGGCCGGATGATAATATTAGAAGTTTCCTACAGCTGGTCAGGGAATACCACAAGCAACAACCGCCATGGATAATGAGTAGTAGTGTCACTGGTTTTGGCAGGAATGAGCTTCTTTTGCACATGTCACAGTTAAGGAACTACTGGAACAATGAGTAGTAGATATCTTTACAGTATTAGTGCGGCTGAGATTACTCTTTGTAATACTGTTTACTTCAAGCAGATTAAAATGGAGAGCTCCGATGGCGTATAAGAGGATGGATTTTCGAGAAGCTCAAGAATGCTGAAATATGCATTATAGGGGAGTATGTTTGCGACTGCTTACTAGTTTTACTGTTTTACTGGAAAAGGGAAGGCAGAGTAGCCCACTTTTTTTGGATGTAAATTTTTGGAGCCGATGTTGATCTTTAGACCGCCTCTGAAAGACCTTATGGTCAGTCTGTAGATCTTGTGTATTCGATCTGATCTTTTCCAGTCTTCTTTTACAATGGCCTTTTTCCGGATTGAATTTAGTTGATCGTGTTTTTTTTTTTTTTTTATTCCTTTTGTACTTACATTTCTTATAGGAAAATAAAAAAAATTGAAATGAAGAACTTCCAAAGAAAAGGACTTGTATATGGCAGTGTTAAGACAAAAGCTGCCACAACGTCATGGTGCAAAAATGACAGGGAAATGAAGAGCAAGTTAACACACGATCAAATTTCCAATCTTTTACATACTGTGTTCCAAACTGATGGTTTTCTATGAATTTCCATTTTTAATAGTATAATTTATACTAAAATAAAAATTAAAAATTGACAAATATTTCGAGATATAAGGAGTATATTCATTTTAACCTTTTTTTTTTTAAACATCAATTTATTTCTAATAGCTTTTGATAATCCGAGGAGCATCATCACTGTGTAATTCCGGTAACATCAAAAAAGATTTTAACCATTTCCGGGCACATTTGAACCTCACTTGTATTGTCCCAGGCCATTAAACTCGCAGCATGTACTTTAAGAACATGGGCCATTCCGTATTACTTCTTTGACTTTTTAGTTTTAATTGTCCAAAAGTGTTGAGCATGTTCAGTTGTTCACTAACCCTGAAAAATACTTTTCTGTTCCAAAATGATTGAGACGGAGGGAGGTATGAAATGATCTCTCCGATTTTAAGCGCAAATAATTTTAAGCGGTTTTTTTTTCACACCCAAATTAAATATTCTTATTAGAATTGGATATATTAGTTTAAAAAGACAATGCCTTATTTAGAAAATGTTGATATGGTATTTAACCCACTCGAATACTTAATATAAACTTTTCTAACAAGAATTTTAATCACTGCTACATCACATATTCTTGCTGTAATTATTACAGTACATTTAATAAATAGAGCCAAGTGGTTGGATAAAATAAGCAAATAAATAGAACCCACCATTCTATTAGTTTTTGGAACGTAGTATGCCTTAGTCTCAAACCTACCAGTAACCTTATTCTATTAAAATTATTTAGTCTTAATGTCTCAAAAGATTATAAATTCAGAATGTAAAACATTAGTACTATTTCATTATGGAAAAAGCTTTCTCAATGTTTCTATCAGGTAAAGAATGTTGTTTTCGAATATCTTACTTATATCCAATTTTTCGGGTAGACAGTGTTGCTGTCACTGGCTGTTAATGGCCATGGCTTATTGAAGAACAGCCAGCTAGGTCTGCTGCTTCTGCATACATTATTAGTCAACCCTTTTCTTCTTTTTTTTTTTTTTCTTCTTTTCATTCCATTTCAATAGTTTGAATAAAAGAAAAAATAATGATAGATACAAAAAAAAATTACAAAGAAAAATAATAAGGAAATGATCTCACCCATCCATTTTAAAAATTTTCCATACGGAGTTTAAGCATTTAAGGTTTAGGGTCTAATTTAGATGCTTGACACATCATTCCTTGTAAATTTTCCTTGTTATTTTTTTCCTGTATATATCAATACTAAGATTAAAATCTAAATTGGACAATAATATGGGACGAAGGAAGTATTAAAATGATACGGAGCGAGTATATATCAGTTAAGTCATTTTTCCAGCTACGCAACTCGCTAGACCTATCACCTATGTACTGTCATTTTATGTGTGGGATATATGAAAGGGGCCTAGTTTAATTTCATCGATTTTGCCAAAGTATTTTTGGTCCAGCATTTTGATGAACGAGAAACACAGCATGTTACGTGAAAAAATGGATAAAAACACCAAATTAAAGCTTTCCTAAAATAAGGATGGACGGCAACCAGATTATGCCTAGATCTCCTTCTTCTTCTTCTTTTTGTTTACCTAATAATTGTTTGCTTAAAACGTCATGAAGGATGAAGCTACCCAAACTACTTTGTTGCACTCCTAAACAAACCTTATTTCTTTAAAGGACCAGTGGCTTATAGCTGGGACTAATTCTACTCGCTGATGAGTTATGTCATGGAGTTGTTCACTTAGAAAGTTGAATGGTTACTGCGAGATCATCGATGTAATTTCGTTAGTTTAGCCCCATATAGGTTATTTTTTTGAGACGGAGAGAGTATTTAGTATATTATATTATCTGCTTTAATAATATTACCTTAATAGAACAATGTAAATCATACAAGTTAGAGTTTATGCCTTTTGGATTAAAGTTTGATTTGGAGTACAATATACTCCATTTAAACAATTTAAACAATGTATGATTAGCGGAAGACAGAAAACAGTTAAGAGCACTGATATACATGTGGTCGAAAAGCAAGTTTTGGAGCAAAAATGACAAAGTAAAATTTGTACTCTCTCCCAAAAAGAAAATATATACTTCCTCTGTCTCAAAATTATTGTCCAGTTTGAGATTTCATTTTTAGTACAATTTGAACTAAAAATGAAAGTCCAAACTGGATAATAATTATGGGACGGAGGGAGTATTAAGTTTTCAAATTTTATATTTTTTGAGCCAATATGATGACAAAGTAAAATTTGTACTCCCTCCATATCCCAGTATAAAATTTGAGAAGTCAATGTGGATTATTTTTTTGAAACAGAGTAATATAATTTATTTATTTCATACCAACATTCACCTTATGATTTGTAAAGGATCTTCTCTTTGGTGTGTCATGATATTCTTGAACTTGAAGTTTCGTAAATGCAATCCTCTTTTATTGTGATTAAAAAAAAAATTCTCAATGAAAGCTGGAGAGCATACAAGCTTTTCTTGGACGATCATAATCAACAATAATTGATCACATCCACATTAATTATCAGTGGATTAAAAATATTTTGACACTTGGATTTTCTTTTTTATAATCAAGCTTACATTCCAAATTTCTATAATTTATAAAATAAATAACCAATGAGAAATCAAAGGCATCATCATATTGACATATATAGTTTGCCTTTCATTTCATGTGTGACCTAAAAACATATTGTAAAAAAACCAAAAAATTTACCCCCTCCTGAACCAAAAGAAAAAGTAAAAAATTACCCTCTAAGAACATCAACAGGGAACTCATCAATTTCATCCATCCATGGATTCTTCTCTTTAGCTGGATTGATGGTCTTCAATGCCTTCCAAACTGCACTGTTACACTTAAAACCCGACCCGAAAGCGATCTGCCATGTCCGATCTCCCTTTCTGATCCTCCCTTTGGCTTCACTGTAAGCCAATTCATACCATAATGAACTGCTTGAAGTGTTGCCAAATCTATAAAGTGTCATTCTTGATGGCTCCATATGCCATTCACTGAGGCTTAAATTCTTCTCAATTTCATCCAACACGGCTCTGCCTCCAGCATGAATGCAGAAATGATCAAATGCGAGTTTGAAATCGGGAATATATGGCTTGATTTTCATGTTGAAAACCTTTCTCCCAACTAGAGTTAAGAAGAACAAGAGCTGTTCTGACATTGGTAGGACTAATGGTCCTAAAGTTGTGATGTTGGTTTTTAAGGCTTCCCCTGCTACTGCCATTAGGTCTTTTGAAAGGGCCACTCCTACTTTCTTGTTTTCATCTTCTTCCTGGAATACACAACCATAACTTCTGTCGTCGGCGCCTTTGTGGGTTCGAACCGTGTGAATTAGCTGGTATTTTGATCTTCTTCGATCAGATGATTTGTTAGACAGCAAAATTGCAGCTCCTCCCATTCTGAAAATACAATTCGAGACGAGCATTGATCTGTTGTTTCCAAAGTACCAATTCAATGTGATGTTCTCCATGCTCACTACCAATGCATATGAGTTTGGATGAACCTGTTGAAAATAGATTGACAAAAACAGAGTTTAGACATAGTTTTCAGATATCAAACGTTTTGTTTGGTCAAACATATGACCTAATATATTCCAAATTCTAAATCTTTCACCTAGAATATTAACAACTTGAAGGCCTGATACTTCAATTAGTCTTGCATTCAATCCCATCTACATTAGTACTCCCTCCGTTCCAAAATTATCGTTCAGTTTAGATTTTCATATCTAGTTCAAATTATACTGAAAGTGAAAATCAAAACTGGACAATAATTTTGATTGAACTGGAAATAAAAATCTAAACTGGATAATAACTTTGGGACGGAGGGTGTATGTAATTACCTGTAAAAGTTGTTTGGCAAGATCTATTGAGATTAGTCCAGCACTACAACCCATGCCACCAAGATTATAGCTCAAAATATTTCCCCTGAGTTTGTAATGATTCACAATCATGGCAGAAAGAGATGGAGTTGGACAAAACAAGCTGCAATTCACCACAAGAATCCCAATATCTTTGGCCTTCACCCCTGTTTTCTCCAACAGCTGATCAATAGCACCAAACATAACCATCTCAGCTTCTTTCCTAGCTGCTTCCATACAAGGATTGAATGGAATTTGCAAAAGGGCTTCAGGGACATAAGTCTTCTCCCCCAAACCAGACCTCTCAACAATCTTCTTCTGAAACGCCAAATTCTCTTCAGTGAAAGTCCCATGTTGTTTCGATCTCTCCAAGAAAATCTCTTTCGGGAACACGGCTTCCGGTCCGGGCTTGTAACATGCAAAATCAACCAAATAAACTTTCCCAGGCCGAGTCATTAGGTACAGAGTACCCAGAAAAACCAACAGAGCAGAACAGAGTACCACTGAAACAAGGTTGAATCTTAGCTGCTCCCATAACAAGACTAAATCTTCCACAGTAACTGTAGAAAGCTGAACTGAAACGGCACCTAACAGAGGAATCAACAACAAATACATGGCATGGGAAATCAAGTAATGGTACCCAAGTTTCACATATTTGAGCCTAACAGATGAAAGAAAATTAGGAAGATTATTCCTTCCCCTGTTTTCCTCTGCCTCAACTGAAACTCTTCTAGTTTCTCCATTCTCCATTTTAACTTCTAAGCTCTCCCCAAGACAAAAACACAAAAAACCCAGAAACAGGACAATCTAAATGAATGATAATATCCTTTCCTTGAAGAAGAATGTATATTTCAAAAAAGGGTTGAAAGACAGAAAAGGAATTGTTCTAAATATGCAAAGAAACGGAATGGGGGGAGAGAATTATTAGAAATGGATTGCAGAAAATGGAAGGGAATTGAAGAATTTAAAGGAAGAGGGAAGGAAGGGAAGGGGGAAGATTGGGGGAAGTGCAACTACCCCAACGAACTTTTAATTGTTATGGCGCCGAGGGGCATTGAATTCGCCAGATGGGAAAACAACAGGTTTTCGTGTTCGACGTATAGGTGTACTATATACTTTACCACTGTAGGGTATTTTGAATCAAATGATATATATGCATTATTGACGAAGAAATTACGATTCTCATAATATTACTTAATATTTAAAATTCCTTTAAAGGCATTTTTGGGAACATTAGCGGTGAATAACTAAATGTGTATACAAAATTTGAGTGATAAAACTGAGTTTTTGAAGCATTATATATGTCGCGTTAGTCGTTGTTCTATTTTACTGTATAATTTAATTCGATGTTATTAATTGTTTTTTACTTGAAATTCCAAGGAAAGTTGGCTACATGTTTGAGACCAGAAATGCTACATGATTTGTTTGTTCACATTTCTTTGAGTAATTGAGTTTACTGGATTTTAAACTTAGACAAATTTGTTTCAAAACTTTAATTACTTTTTTTTTAAAATTAATTGTATACTTCATCATATGATCCTGTTGCGAAAACAAATTCTTTTAGGAGCATATGGATATTACGGTTGGAAGAAATTACAATACCTATTGGAGTTAATTGATTTTAATTAGGAAAAGAAAGAAGTGTTATAATTTGTGATCATCATTATTGAGAAGTCTAGAGCCTTTATCGGGATATCGTTAGTTGATATTACTCGCTTCATTGATAGTTTAGTTTCATGCATAGATGAGAAGACTAGAAGGAACATCATTTCTAACATCAAATAACATACTTTAATATTTTTACATACTCCCTCCGTTTCTCTAATTATATAAAGTATTTTTAAATTTTTATTTTTCAATTAAAAGAACACGAAAAAATAAAAATAACGAGAAATCAAAATATTTTGTAATAAAGATCGACCGGATTATTATATATTTTTAGTGTCTGAATATTTCGAGTTACTTTTGAAACATGGAGAATCTTATTTTCATATCCCTTTTACCCTATTAAAGCAGAATACAGGATGTTGATGTGGTAACTTCTTATTAAAAATTTTTAGCTCCAAATGCACCATATTACATTAACCATTATGCCACGTGTCATCCCTTTTTTAAAGAAAAAAAATTCTTATCCAGAAAAACAAAAGTTACTTTACAAAAATAGCTACACAATTTTAACTCCTAACATTTATCATTTATCAATCAAATTAAAATAGTATTTAAATTTGTCCATAAACTTATCCCCTTTATTACTCCATATTCTTTTGTATGATTTCTGAATCGTTGTATTTTTCAATATTTTTTCTCCTTTGACAGATGTTTTTTTATTTTTATAATTATGTTTTGCTAAAAATGAAAAAAAAAAACAAATGTGTAGCTATTTTATTTTTTCCAAATCAAGAATTCATTTATCTATTAACATAAAATTAAAGTAGAGGGGCGCCCGGGCATCTGCCTGGGCCAAGCATCTAGTCATATATTAAACTCGATTTCCAAATTAAACTACTGCCTCGCATGTCTACGTGAACATTTTTGAACTCTCGATCACAGTTAAACGTGTTCAGTTCATTTGCTATCTGAATCAAGTCTTCGTAAGGACCAAGCTAAAAAAATTTGTTTAGTTTAACTAAACCCAACTAAATTCTACTTTGCCTCGTCTTTTCTTTTTCCTTTTTTTTTTTTGTTTCTGTTTTTAATTCTACTTTGCCAATTCCTAAGGTTGATGGAGCACGCACGTGGCAAAGGTGCATGATGTAAACATCAGTTGAATAGTTGGGAGTCTTCTAATATCATCAATATCATCATATTCAGACCCTTTTTTCAATGTAAATAATTGATGGAAGAAATGCATTTAGGAATTTTGTAACGCTGATGAAATTTTAGTATGGTCCAAACCAAGTCTAAAAAGAGCTTATTATATTATATTCCTCGTACTCCAAAAAAAATAATTTATATTTCAATAAGATGTATTGTTTCGAGACCGAAGTAGTACTAATAACAAAACAAAATATTTATGCGACAATGGAAATAATGTTTTAGCAGGCAATTTTGACCAAAAATGAGTGTTCTCCACCGTAAACATGAGGTGAAGAGTTATCATCCGCCCATATATTCGTGAAGATGCACGTTAGCAACTACCTAAGCAAAATCAAATTGCCAATTTGGTTACGTTTTGTTTAGGGTTTTACTTTTATCCTTTTTTAGGGTTTTATGTTTTTCTATTTTATTGTCGCCCTTCCGAGATAAATAAATGTAAATGACACCATGCATGGGAATTAAAGAAGAAAAGAAAACGTGTTTCTTCTTTAAATACCCAATGAATGTGAACTGATCAGAGGGAGCAGCAATGGCAGCTAGCCAATCGTACCTTTGACTTATTCTTCCTCTTTATTTATTAAAACGTATATTTAGCTGAATAAATAATGTTCTTTCAGTTCCAAAAAATATCTATATTGTAATATCTACTTTTGCGAGACAGAAAATGTATGACAAATTATTTAAATGACTAAACTAAAGTAAAATTTTAGTAAATTAGACTTCCACGTTTTGACTATATCTTTGACTTCAGTCCACAAGTTGCTTTCTTCTTGACACAAAAATAATACTCCCTCTGTCCCGAAATTATTGTCCACTTTGAGATTTCACTTTTAGTACAATATGAACTAAAAATGAAAATTCAAACTGGACAATAATTATGGGACGGAGAGAGTATGACAGAACAAATTCCAAATTTATGACCAGAGAATCTCGTTTTTTTTTTCTTAACTGGCACCTTCTGTTTGGAAATTGAAGTTGGATGTCTTTCCTCCATCTCAAAATTAAAACGTCAACTATTTTTTAATAATTCACCCCCCAAAAAAAAATTGCTAAACAGTATATTATTGTCATATACGTTGAATTATTTTGATACAATAAACATGTTACTTATTTTAAGACGAGAAAAAATATATTAAAGAGTAGTAGCCACAATCAAAGACGGGATCATGAGTATGTCTTTTGCTCGATTTGTCAAATGCTTCTAATTCTCCAATACTTGCAAATTTTAGCAAAAGGAATCACAATTTCGATTACGCAATTGAGAGGTGGCAGGCATATAATTTTTGGTCTATGGTCCCAAATTTTATGAAGTCTTTTTGGTCTTTCTCTTTAACGTTCAAAATCATATTTGAACAATTTCAAACGAAAACTTGTTTATCAAACGAAAGACATCAAATTAAACACTCTTTCAAGACCACAACATCCTTCATGATCATAGACCAAAGATTAGCTTGGTTGCTATTTTTATTTTTTCAGAATAAAAAACTCCAAAAACATATGACAATTAAAACAGCTGGGTATAGAAGATGTTTTAAAGAAGGAAGCCAGGAAAAAGGAAAAAAAAAAAAAAAACACCAGAAAAAGGTTGGTGGGTAGGAGAAGTGTTTCAGCTTCTTAGGGTTATGCTCTACTCTGGGTAATTAAAAAGATTTGTTCATTTGACACGAAATCCACCGCAAAACTTTTGACTTTTAACTTTGGAGACAAGTTTACTCCACCATTATTGTACAACATTTGAATTCTGAAGAAGAAACCAAAAAACAAAAACAAAAAAAATTAAAGAAAAAGAAAACGTTAGTATTTTAAAATTGTTCAGAACGAATTGAATTAAAAAAAAACAAATATTGATCAATGTAACATTCGAAAAAAATTATCGAATATTTTCCATTTAGAGAAGAATTTTAGTCTTGCTTATTTTCGTTGATGAAAATTGAACGAGATTGTAAGGAACATTCAAAACAAAGTTATTTTTTCGTTCATCATTCTATATTGAAAGGATTTTAGATAAATAAAAACAATTGCATTTCACTTTTTTGCATTGAAGTTCGTAATTAACAAATCTTTTTGGTTGTTAATTCTCTATAGACCAAGAATTTTAATCGTATGAATTGTGACAAGAAACCAATCTTTAGACCTTACTTTTGAACCGTCGTAAATTACTTTGTTTAAATTCCTATATACTTCCTCTGTCTTAAAATTATTGTCCAGTTTGAGATTTCACTTTTAGTACAATTTGAACTAGAAATGAAACCCAAACTTAACAATAATTATGGGACAAAGGGAGTATAATTTTTGTGAACTTTTTTAAAGCCAGATTAACCTCTTATAATTGTTTAAGGATGTGTGAAGCCTATGTTACACTTTTAATTTTTAAACCAAAGCAATACCTCCAAGTACATTGTATGTAAAGTTTTTTTTTTTTGGAAAAGACATTGTATGTAAAGTTAAATTTGGGTAACTGGGGCCTTTGATCAGCAATATTGTGGGAGATATTACAATTAGTGGACTGGAAATGGTTGCTTCATATAACAAGAACATGAAAATTAGGACAGAGATATATTTATCTCTTCAAGATATCATTGAGTTGATTTCTTTTTAGGCTATATTTATTCACTGAACAAACTTGAAAACATATGTTGGAATACTGTCTAGTTTCTACCCATTATTAGTATTAGGGGCAAAAAGCGTAGAAATTATACGAAACATTTGTCCCCTTTGTACATTAAAACTGACCAAACGATCTACATTCATAGAACTATAGCAATTCTTGAGAAAAAAAAAAGAAAAAGACATAGTACTTATTCATTCTGAGTCATTAAATTAATATAACCATCGGTATGTATCTTTACAATCTATTTACAATTTTTTTCCCTGCATTTAAATTTTTTCTTTTATTTACAATTATCTTAATCAGATTTGTTTTTTTTTCTTTC